TACCTACCAGGCCCACTGCCCAGCTGTACTTTACCCTCACACTTTGGTTACATACTTATCATTTGACAGAAGCTGTCAAAGTGGATTTTTGCGAATTGGGACATTTAAATTTCCGAATACAGCAGCTAACGGTTGTGAGAAAAGAGCTGGATTTCTCTTAGAGTTCTGTGCTCATAGGAACTGTGAGAATGGACATACAGCTCTGCAGTTCTGAAGGGTACTGACTGGAATCTCCTGAATGCAGAGCACTTTCTGCTCATAAAGAGGAATCTGTGTGAGTTTGTCACTGTTTGGAAAATGTCACCTGATAAGTTTGGCTGGAATTTAAAAATACAGAGGATGAGATACTACAGTTTGGAAAGCAGTATTGTGACATCAATAAGAAATGTTTTTCTCATACTTGAGGAAGTTTGAGGATTCTGAGTGTGAATTCACCTGAATGTGACAGCACCATGTGGTGTTGTTGAGTTGTTTCCCTGAAGAAAACATATTTTGCCGACCCAGTGGATGTCATAAACCAGTGCAAGGTCTAACAATTAGCTTATGTTCTTTGGCAATTACACTCACAGCCATGTATTAACAATTCTGGTCTTACACCTGTATGCTGTCTAATTTCTCTCATTCGATTCCTCTGTCAATGTTGTTACTTCAGTGAAACCTGCGTAAACAGCCTCCTACCAGAGAGAAAATGGTCACCCATTTGGCACAGCCAAATAACTTGGGACTAAATTAAACAAGGGGCACTGAATCTCAAGTCTCCAACAAATGACAAACCTCATTCAGCTCTTAATGCACTAAGCTGTTTGACATTTTCAGACATGGAATTGAGAATTCAGCTGCAGCTTTTGTAGAGTGAGGGCCTGCTAACCCAGTTTCCATCAATGAGGACAACTGGCTCTTTCTGCAGTTGGATTCCCAGCTACTGTGCATGCTGGGTAAAAAGCTGTACACTTTACTGACAACATTTAACTTGCAAGCAATGAGCCTTTTAAAAATAAGGATACCTACAATGAGAATGTTAGTCCTGATTTAGTCCTAATATACAGATTTCACTGTATTTTCCATCATTATTTCAAGGTGTTACAATCAGTAATGCTCTCATTTTAGGCAAGTTCATGTAACAATTATTTCAAAATAGCCAGTACATCAATTGACACAGATCAGGGGGCAAACTCCCATCTCATAGGAAAATGGATGTGGTTGTTGAAGGTGAGTCTAATCAGCTCCAGGACATCTCTGCAGGAGTTCCTCAGGGTAGTGTCCCAGGCCCATCTTCATGCTGCTTCATCAATGACCTTCCCTCCATCATAAAGTTCAGAAGTGGGAATGTTTACCTATGATTACACAATGTTCAGCACCGTTCACGGTTCCTCAGATATTGAAGCAGTCCGTGTTCAAATGCAACAAGATCCGGATAGTGTAGATGTTTGGGCTGATCAGTGACAGTAACATTTGCACCACACAAATGCCAGGCAGTGACCATCTTCAATGAAAGAGAATCTAACTATCACAACTCGACGTTCAATGTCATCACCATCACTCCATTGACCAAAAACTGAACATCTCCAGAAACATAAATACTGTGACTATAAGAACAGGTCAGAAGGTAGGAGTTCTGTGGCAAATAACTCACCTCCTGACTCCCCAAAGCCTGTCCATCACCTACACGGCACAAGTCAGGAGTGTGAGGGAATACTCCCCACTTGCCTGGATGGGTGCAGCTCCAACAACACTCAAGAAGCTGAACACCATCCAGGACAAAGCAGCCTCCGCTTGATTGGCACCACATTCACAAACACCCAGTCCCTCCTCCACCGACACTCAGTAGCAGCAGTGTGTGCTATCTACAAGATACACTGCAGAAATTCATCAAGGCTCTTTGGAAAGTACCTTCCAAAAACATGACCACCACTATCTGGAAGGACAAGAGCAGCAGATACATGGGAACACCATTGGAACAAGGGCAACACAGTGGCTCGGTGGTTAGCACTGCTGCCTCCCAGTGCCAAGGACCCAGGTTTGATTCCACCCTGGGGTGACTGTCTGTGTGGAGTTTGTACATTCTCCCCATGTCTGCGTGTCTTTCCTCCGAGTGCTCCAATTTCCTCCCATAGTCCTAAGATGTGCAGGTTAGGTGGATTGGCCATGCTAAATGTGTGGATAGGGTGGGATGCCCTTCGGAGGGTTGGTGCAAACTCGATGGGCCTATTGGCATCTTCTGCACTGTAGGGATTCTATGACCACCTCCTGCAAATTCCCCTCCAAGCCACTCACCATCCTGACTTGGAAATATATTGCTGTTCATCCAGTGTTCCAGGGTCAAAATCTTGGAATTCCCTCCCTAATGGCTCTGTGGGTTTACCCACAGAAGATGGACTGCATCGGTTCAACAAGGCAGCTTATCACCACCTTCTCAAGGGCAACTGGGGACGGGCAATAAAAGCACAGAATTAAAGTGATGTATGATTTTTGTTTCGCTTTGAAAGTCAGTGACGATGCAGTACAATGCCAGCTCACACTAAGCTGTTAAACTTGTTTCAATGCAACACATAGAAACTTGTTTCTTTTGGTCGAAGTCCAGCATGTCTAAGTCCATTTGTAAATTGTTGGTCCAGACTGTATTTGGCTGACAGTTCCCTTTGGCAAGTCAGAACCTCCTAATCATACAATCCCTATAGCGTGGAAGCAGGCCATTCAGCCCATCAAGTCCACACCAAACCAACCCACCGAAGTGCATTCCCCCTCCCCCCCCACCAATATCCCTGTAACCCAGTATTTCCTATGTCTAACCCACTTACTCTGCACACCCCTGGACACAGTGGGTGATTTAACATGGCCAATCCACCTAGCCTGCACATCTTTGGACTGTGGGAGGAAACTGGAGCACCGAAAGGAAACCCACACAGACACGGGGAGAATGTGCAAACTCCACACAGACAGTTACCTGTGTCCCTGGTGCTAAGGCATCAGTGCTAACCATGGAGCCACCACACCGCTCCATAATATTACAGAAATTGTAAACTCCTCACCAGTTCATGGAAGAAAAGCTGTTTCTGGTCAAGAATATGCATTTGGGTAGTTTCAGTTAAAAATCTCAGAAGCCAGCAGTCTGGTTGAAAATCTTTCAAATAACAGGTCAAAACTGGAAAAATGTGCAATACCATACCTAGATGTTTTTAAAATATTTGTTTGAGACTAGTTACTCTGTAGTTGTGGAACTATTTAACAGATGATTTATAGCAACCTGAGCTATACACAGTGTGGCCTTATCAGATAAACTACTCTTTAGTCTATACTGTACTGACGTTCCCAAGCCTATTCAATTAGTTAAATAGATCATGCCTGATCTGTATCAAGACTCTGTTGATCTGCCTTTATCGATTTTTTGTAATACCCTAACTCAATACAAACTTATCAATTCCAGTTTGAAAAGTTTTGTCAGTGTGACACGTTGGGAAGTTCTCCAATTCTCAGCTTGCAGCCTCTTGAGGGGAGTGTTCCAGATTTTCAGTTCTATGTCTGGAAAAGTGTCCTGATTGCACAGCTCAGTAGCTGAGGTCTAAATCTAAGGTGGCATCTCTCTGGCCTGTGACTCCCCACCAGGGACATTTACTTCTCTACATTTATTGTTTTAAACACCTCTATTAGTTCTCCTCCTCAAACTTCTAACATAAAGGGAATTCATGCCACATTTATATAATCAGTCCTCCTAAGTTAACCCTATTTAAACACTGGTGACATTCCCATGACTGTACATACCACCTCCAAACTCATGAAAATCCAAAGGGACAGTGGATGCTGAAATCAGAAAGAAAAATAAATTGCTGGAAAAGCTCAGCAGGTCTGGCAGCATCTGTGAAGAGAAATCAGAGTTAATGTTTCAGGTCCAGTGACCCTTCCTCAGACCCTTATCCAAACTCATATCCGGGCTAATCAACATTCTGTGTCATTGAGGGATAACTTCTCCTGGTTGTGTTTTGACTCCTTCAAACTAAACCAATAGCTTTGGGACTCCTTTTTGTTCATGTCACACATGTTTTTATTGCTTTATCTATCCATATGTCTACATCTCTTTTCTGTTTTATGATTCATTATCTCTTATGCCTGAGAAAATAATCTTCACCAATTTGGAATCAAATAATTGATCTCGCTTTCACGCAGTGGACTCCTCCTACAGTTACTTAAATAAAAACCAAAAGAACTGTGGATGCTGTAAATCAGAAACAAAAACATAAATTGCTGAGAAAGCTCAGTTCTGAGGAAGGGTCACTCGACCCAAAACATCAACTCTGATTTCTCTCCACAGATGCTGCCGGACCTGCTGCATTTCTTCAGCAATTTCTGTTTTTGTTACAGTTACTTACTTAGTCTGCCTGTACCACTTTAGTTTTTGCTCCTGCCCTTCCTAACACTGTACCATCAGCAAACCTCAATGAACACTTTCTGTTCCTTTATCCAAGTTAGTAATATTTCTGTGGAAAAAACTGAGGAGCAGGATGGGGGTCCCTGAGAAATACCACTTCCTTGAACCTATGAATCAGAGAACATTCTCTTTCACCTCACTGCTTCCACCTCCTACCTCCCAACCAATTACTAACCCACAACATATTACTGATTTGATTTTAAAGATTAAATGGAATGATCTCTCATGGAGCTTTGTGCATTTTAATGCAGTTGCTATCTGGGATTTGTTAGATAAACATGTGATATCTCAAGCATGCAAAGCAAGATTACAGAATTGAAAAGGTTTGGAATCTTGGGACTGCCCATAATCTGAGAAAGAAGAGTGAAAATATTTATGGGTAAGAAGATTTGAAAGATTCAAAATATCTTAACCACGGGAATGACGACTCACTTTTAAATAATCAGGAATTTGTTTTCAAAGAGCAATTCTCAGTCTGCCTCCAGTCTTCACAATATATATTCAATGTCTATGATTGGGTTTGTATCAACTTGATCCAATGATGTTGAGAATAATCTTCATGCTTTTGATTTTGTAGAATTACCAAAAAAGACACAAGCTTATGGAGTTGAGGAGAACCCGAATGTCTGCCACAAATGAAGATGACGCCTTACACTCTAAAGGAAACCAGCAGAAACCAGGATTGTAAAAATGAAGAATTTATTTGGAATTTAGAAATATATTCTCAAACTGCATTGCACTTTGTTGGAGATTCAGTTTCAACTGCCTCTGTGTGAAACTATTGTGATTGTCTAAGTCTTGTGTTTTGGTGTTAATATTGTCATTGGACATAGTGTAAAAGCACAAATGGTGAAGTGAGTGGCGCACGATCAATGCTGTCAAACACTGCATTAGGCCTATTTATGGATTGTTGCTGTGTTTTGGTGATTATTTGCTAAAGCTGGCTAGATATCATCACTTTTGAATGGAAAAGATGTAAATATGCTTTTGTAAATAATGCGAAATAAAAATCTTAAATGTCACAATCAAAATGATCTAAACTGTTGTTTTCTCATAAACACTGGACCCAGTTGTGTGAACTGTACATACGGAGGCTAGGAGGATTAGTCTCTGATACTGGCTCTTGTTAAAGTCACCCACAAAGGTTTCAAAGACACTTTAATTAATGTTTCTGCCTAAATTATTGTGTTCTGTTTTGTTCAAACTTTCCACTGAAAGTGCTGAGTTGTACAAACGATCAGTGCTGTTTCTCCAGCTTCTGTTGAGCTTCACTGGAGTATTGCAGCAGGCTGAGGGACGGATTGGTGAGCGTGAGAGAAAGCTCTGATATTGAAATGACGAGTGACTAGAAGCGCAGGGTCATGCTTGTGGCCTGAGTGAAGATGTTCTTTAAAGCAATCATCCAAAGTGGATTTGACTGCATCTTTTAAAACCTCATTCATGGCTAGCTGGGCGAGCATTTACAGCTAAATACTCATGGTCCTTGTAACCCAAAAAAGCACAATCCACCGTTACCTCCATGACAGACCACAACACGGCCAGACACACTAGTCATCCTACTGTACATCAGAGACCTATCAGAGATGACCACAAGACTACTCAGACCCATAGGCATCAGGGTAGCCCACAAACCAACAACCACCCTGTGACAGCTACTGATGGATGTAAAGGATCCTATACCCACAACCAATAAAATTAATGTAATATACAACATACCATGCAAGTACGGTGAGAAACATTACATAGGCCAAAGTGGAAGAAAACTGACAATAAGGATACACAAACACCAACTAGCCACCAAGAGACATGACCAATTGTCACTAGTCTCAACACACATGGACAACGAGGGACACAAATGTGACTGGAACAACACATCCATAACAGCACAAGCCAAACAGAGACATGCCAGGGAATTCCTGGAGGCCTGGCATTCCAACCGGAACTCCATCAACAAACACATTGAACTGGACCCGATATACAAACCACTGAAAAACAGAACCAGAAGTAATGCCAACCGCCCCAGCAAAGCCAGGCATATAAATAACAAGTGGTACAGAACACCAACACTTCACTGGAGGCGCACTGACGATGTTACCCAGCAGGGTGACAAAACGTCTACAACCAAACCCACCGGCTTGGCAAGCAAGTCTACAACCTCATCCACAACCCAAGCTACAGAACTTCTTCGGATAGGGAAATAATACAGGGAAATGGCATTGAGTTGACTAATCAGCCATGATCTAAAATTGGTGCAATGGTCTTGAGAGGCTGAATGGCCTCCTGCTCCTAATGAGAGAAATGCAAGTAAATTATTGCTTCACCTGAGCAGAGCATTTGGGGTATTGGACACTGTGAGGAGAGAGAAGGTAATGGGAGGGCGTGGACTCACATCTGCTGTGATTATGTGGGAAGTTGGCCCTGGAATGGGATGAGATGTCGGAGATGATCGAGGAGTGGAGCAAGCTGGCACAGGCAATGGTTCCTTTCGAATCTGACAGAGGGCTTTTCTCCATATGCTTGGTGTCTTCCTGAAAAAGCCTGCTGTGTTCGGATCAGTCAAAACCAGGATTCCCGTGAGTCAGTGGGAATGTTTACTCTCTTCAGGGATGGTTTGAGGACTTTGCTAAAGCTGGGACTTTGTTCCCTGGAGCATCAGAGGCTGAGGAGTGACCTTATAGAGGTTTATAAAATCATGAGGGGCATGGATAGGGTGAATAGCCAAGGTTTTTTTCCCAGGGTAGGGGAGTTCAAAACTTGAGGGCCTATACAGTCATAGAATCATACAGCATGGAAACAGATCCTTCAGCCCAACTCGTCTGTGCTGACCAAGTTTCCCAAACCAAACTAGTCCCACTTGCCTGTGTTTGGCCCATATCCCTCTAAACCTCTCCTGCTCATATACCTGTCCAAATACCTTTTAAATGTTGTAACTGTACCTGCTTCAACCACTTCCTCTGGCAGGTCATACCCCATATGAAGCACTCTGTGTAATAAAGTTACCCCTCAGGTCCCTTTTTAAATCTTTCTCTTCTCACCTTAAAAATATACCCCCTCATTTTGAACTCCCCCAACATAGAGAAAAGACTTTTGCTACTCACCTCATGATTTTATAACTCTCTATAAGGTCACCCCTCAACCTCTTACACTCCAGTGAAAAATAACCCAGCCTATCCAACTTCTCTCTGTAACTCAAACCCTCCAGTCCCGGTAACATCCTGGTAAATCTTTTCTGAACCCTCTCCAATTTAATAATATCCTTCCTATAGCAAGGTGACCAGAACTGCACATAGTACTCCAACTTCACCAACATCATGTACAACCTCAATATGACATCCCAACTCCTATACTCAGTAGTCTGCACAATGAAGGCAAGCATGATCAACGCTTTCTTAACCACCCTAGCTACTAGTGATTCAGGTAATTTTCAAAGAACTGTGTACCTGAATCCCTAGGTCTCTCTGTTTTACAACACTCTCCAGGGCCCTACCATTAACTATATAAGTCCTGCCCTTGTTCATTTTACCAAAATGCAACACCTTGTATTTACCCAAATTAAACTCCTCAGTCCATTGGCCTAATTGATCAAGATCCCTTTGTAATCTTAGATAACCTTCTTCACTATCCACGATACCACCAATTTTGGTGACACCCATAAACTTATCAACCATGATTCCTAAATTCTCATCCAAATTGTTTATCTAAATGACAAACAAGAGTGGACCCAGCATCGACCCCTACGGAACACTACTGATCACAGGCCTCCAGTCCAAAAAAAACCCTCCAGCACTACTCTCTGTCCCCTACCACCAAGCTAATTTTGTATCCAATTGGCAAGCTACCATGTGGAACCTTGGCAAAGGCTTTGCTAAGTCCATATAGACAACGTCTACCACTCTGCCCTCATCTATCTTTTTAGTTACTTCCTCAAAAAACTCAATTAAGTGAAAGACAGGAACCTGAGGGTTAATATTTTTCACATAGAGGGTGGTTCCTGTGTGGAATGAACGAACTGAGGAAGTGATAGATGCAGGTACAGTTACAACATATAACAGACATTTGGACGGGTACATGGATAAGAAAGTTGTAATGGGATATGGGCCAAACGCAGGCAAATGGGGCTAGTTTGGGAAACTTTGTCGGCATGGATGAGTTGGATCGAGGGCTTTTTTTTTCATGCTTTATGACTCTATGACTATAAACAAAGTTAACATTTTGAATCCAGTGATCCTTTCTCAGAAGAAACAGGGTCATTGGACTTGAAACATTAACTCTGTTTCTCTCCATGGTTGCTGCCAGAGCTGCTGAGTTTCTCCAGCAATTTCTGTTTTTATTTCAGATCTCCAGCATCCCCAGTTCTTTGTTTTGTTTTATATTTTGGCAAAGTTTTTTTCACCTTGCACTCATCAGGACAATTCACAAGAATGCCACCATAAAGGGTAAAACAACATTGACACTGTATAAAGGAGAGGGCTGTATCAAGGAGTGGGCTTTGATCGCCAGAGGTGCTGCTGTGAAGGAACATTTGAATGATGACTGATAGTTAACGGCCAAGCTTTGGTTAAATTTAAACCAGACAGGTTGATCAAAGGCCTCAGAAGTGAACCAGAGAATGGCTGTCACCTATTTTGTTAAGTTGCGTATATTCTTTCTGTCTGCAAAGAACAGGACCCTATGTGTTAATTATTGTAACTTCTGATACATACAAACGCACTCACTGTGAGCCCAGTTGACAATCCTAAAGAGGTTGTCAGTGTAATGAATGCTCAACAAATCATGTCTTTTTCCAGGAATGCTCAAGAACATTATGTGACGTAATTTGAAAATCAGAACTTTAGATCCTTCAGTTCTAATTCCGATTATCTTGGTAAAGGAGAAATCAGAAAAGAACTGACCTCGAAAGGAGAATTTAGACCCTACTTTGACCATGGAAGAGGGAATTTCTATCAAAGGTAGGCAGTTGTAAGTGGTCTGCTATACTATGTTAACATTCACACAGCATAATCTCTCTAAACTTCCTCAGAGAAACCACACTCTGCCACAAAAGGGGATACCTGCTTTGGTATTTTGTGCCTCTTGGGCAAGAACCTCATTGCCAAATACGAAAAGAACCTGTATTCAGATCTACTGGCTTAAAGGATTGTCAAAACTCAAGGTAAGTTGATGTAATAAGTTAACTTATGCTGATGAGCCAGTTACCACCATGTTAAAGTATTTGCTTGACAACACTCTGCTCATATAGAATCCCTAACAGTGCAGAAGCAGGCCATTCAGCCCATGGAGTCCATACCAACCCTCTGGAGAGCATCCCACCCAGACCCACTCCATCCCTGTAACTCTATGGCTAACCCATCTAGCCTGCACATCCCTGGACACAAAAATAAAGTTGCTGGAAAAGCTCAGCAGTTCTGGCAGTATCTGTGCTGAAAAATTCAGAGTTAATGTTTCAGGTCCCTTCCCTCAGGGAATAGATCCCTGGACACAATGGGCAAATTTAGCATGGCCAATCCACCTAATGTACACATCTTTGGAATTTAGGAGGAAACTCATGTAGACACAGGGAGAATGTGCAAACTCTACACAGACAGTCACCTGAGTCTGGAATTGAAGCTGGATCGCTGGCACTGTGAGGCAGCAGTGCTAACCACTCAGCCACCCCCATCTATTGTTATACATACACAAATCTTTGTTCTTATATTTCTGATTGTTTAAGTTTTCTTTTTCTTTAGTTTGTAAATTATTCCACATATTAAACAATCACATTCTACCCTGTAAAAATTCCATTTTTGAATTTACTGATTCAAACCCAGTCTCTAAAACCAGCAACTAATGAGGTTCTATTTAAACCCAACATGACTATTTGTTGAAATGAAGCCTAGTTCCTGATAGAGTTGCTGTGTTACCTCCATGACCCTGGGGTAATACTTTTTCGCAGGTATAGACTCTAAACTGAATCTATACGAAACTGTTTATTCCCTCAGAAATGTGTACAGAAAATTAATATTTTATTTCAGAAAGGG